GCTTGTTCCCTGGTTCCTGCCGCCTGATCAGTCTCGCTTCGGCTTTCAAACGGGAAAGCTGTGTTGCTTACGATCGGAATACACATTACGCAACATGACGACGTAAAATTAAATTGGGAAAGAACCGTAATAAAAATAAGAAGCAACTGGGTTGGCGTAAAAAAAAAACAGGCATCAATATAATAAACCTAATGAAATAAGTGTCTAACGATCTATCTACTTACAGTATTATTGATTACAAACATGTCTGTACATTGCATATGACGCGCGGGGAAGTGGCGGCGAAATTAGAATTTTAGCTGAGGTAATATAGGCCCTTAATAAAACGAGACCAGATTCGAAATAAATACTATTTCTTTTGTATATATTCATCACTACATCATTTTCTAACTAGACTTTTATGAAAACTAATTTACCTTTAAAATGTCAAAATCATTGTGTTGAGTTATGTGACTATTAGAAACTTGACTTGCAGTAAACTTATTAAAGGTCTAAACGATTTAAAAAGAAGTCGACTTGAATTCCTCATACATACTTAATCACACACCCACGTATGTGTGTGTATACACACACACACACACACGCACGCACGCACGCACGCACGCACGCACGCACGCACGCACGCACGCAAGCACGCGCACGCACGCACGCACGCACGCACGCACGAACGCACGCACGCTTGCGTGCACGCACGAACGCACGCACGCTTGCACGCACGCACGCACGCACGCACCACACGCACGCACGCAAACACTTACAGGTATAAACCTGTAAACAAATTTACTGCAACAACACACGCCCTGTTATTTCTGTAGTTACATGAAATGTCTTACGGTTTGCAATTTTAACGTTCAAACCGGGATATAACATTGGGTACACTGCTACTTTGCGGATATAGGTAGAGTATGCAAGATACGTTTCCGCACGAAATTAATTTGAATATTTTTGTTGCAGTTGTATTTTGTGCTCAAGAAGAATAGACTCGACTGGGAACGGACACTGTTTTCAGTGAATCTCAGTGTAAAATATCGGTATTATGTATTGTAGAACCATAGTGTGTTTTTCACGTCTTTTTTAATTCCTTTAAATAATGTTATAAGATTAGAAAGATAAGAAAGTTTTTATAGAAAATATATGATAAATTAAGAAGTTTTGAAAGCAATTAATCACCAGAATAAGCATTAGCCGACAGAATATCCCTAGGCCAGAAATTTATTAGGATTTAGGAGTTTAAGTAAAACCGAAGCGTATATTGAAAGTATACAAGGACAGCACGCATTCAAAGTGTTCTTACACTGTATGTTTTCAAAATGTGTAGCAAATAAAATTTTCAGAAAATATACACGATTTCTGCGTACTAGTCGCGTATACTGTCTAACGCTGATTCAGTAAATTAGTTAAGAGATTATACAAGCCTAGAAGCGACATGTTCTGAATTTGTATACATTGGATGTATACGCGTAACAAGTACAAGTATTAGTAAAGTATACAAGCTCAGTAATTTACTAAGTAAATGTCATTATATTAAAAATATGAAACAATTAGTTATCAACTAATCATGTACTTATTACTTTATGGCAATTTAAAGGTAACTGTTAAAATAATGAAGTCCTTTGTGAGAGACAAAACTATTTTTCTTATAAAAGTAGTATTTTCATTATTAAGGCACTTAAATCTTATTTATCTTCATAATATGTACAAATACCTTCAAAAAGAAATACAATTAATTGTCAATTTGACTCCTACTTTTTTTTACGACATTCATTGCCATAATTAAATATAATTATGTATACCTACTTTATACATGTCGTAGGATAATAATAAGATAAATCAAAATATAATAAAAGAAAAACATAATAAAAGAAAAAATCTATTGTGACCGCGAAAACACAGCTAATTAAATGATTGGTCGAATCATTTCGACAGATTCTAAAACTGTATCAGCACGACGAAAAGCAGTAGACTCCACATAGTCTTGTCTGCCCTACCCCTAGACTGTCATATATATATATTTTTTGGCACTATTTTTATAAGGCCACTTTTTTGCTAGTATACATCGTCGTTTGTAAATTCGGCATCTAAAATGTGAACGAGAAACTTCACTAAGAATTTCTTTAATACGTAAGTTTGGACATGTAAAAAGAATGAATGAGGAAAGAGTGACAAAGCAAAATTACATTTGTGACAGGCGTGAGTGGTTATGTTATTATGTAAGTTTGGAAGTCATTCATCATTACTTCATTAAAAGTCCATTGCTGAACAATGAACATATAGTGCGTACATAGAACTATGAGTGCGTACATATAATGCGTGTACTAATCCCGTCACCACTAATCCCAACACCACTACACTAGTAAAGACACAACATCGACGATAATACGACACGTGTTTCGCCTCTACACGAGGTATCCTCAGGTGCTGGGATTAGTGGTGACGGGATTAGTGCAGGGAGGGCGGGAGGTGCTCTTCAAACTAGGTAAGAGACATCATTTTATTTTATTAAGCGGATGTAGGCAAGGTACTTCTTACCAACTTTAATATAATTGATTTCCGCAAAGTAACCCCTGATTCTATTAAATATATATTATAATTTCTTCTTTTTTTTAATTTCTTTACTTAAAATTATTGAATTAGAATATAAAACAACAAAACAAATTAAATTGTTTTTCCATGAAAAAAGAAATTCAATCTAAGTATACGCTCATTTAGAAATCGGAGTTAGTCAATTTTAACTGATTATAATATTTTTTGAGGAAAGTTGTGACTGAAGAAACGCCAAGAGGCTAATTAGCAGTTTTACGAGCAAGAATTGTAACTTTGAGGGAAGAATCATATTCCACGAGAGAAAAAGCACGCAGAGTTGCTGTATGCCAATCTGTGTCGTGGCCACGTTGCAGAGATAGCATGGCATGGATAGTTTAGCTGACCGACCCCGCAGTGCTCGCCTAACTGTTCTGGCTGCTACTCAGAAGCGCTTTATCAGATGGCTGGCAGCTCGTGACCCAACAATCAACGCCACTACAATAAAAGCAGAAGGGTCGCCTCTGGACTTGAAGTTGGCACTCAGACCATTCGGAATTGCTTACACCAGGCTGAACTACGAGCACTGAGGTCTTGGCGAGCACCTCTAAATTCACGGCAATGTTAGTGATGGAGATTGCAGTAGCCTAGGCTCCGGCAAAACGACGAAGATGAGGAAATTTTGGAGCGATTATTTCCGAAATTATTGACATTATCAAAAAATGATTTTAGTAAACCCCTATTCATTTTTAAATACCTTTCCAACAATATATCACACGTTAGGGTTGAAATTAAAAAAAATCACTTCCCACATTACATATAGGGGGGCTACCCTAATAAAACATTATTTTTCAATTTTTATTTTACCACTTTGTCGGCGTGATTGATACACATATTGGTACCAAATTTTAGCTTTCTAGTGCCACAGTCTAGGGTCACAGAGATTAAGCAAGGACGGACGGACGGACAGACAGACATGGCAAAACTATAAGGGTTCCTAGTTGACTACGGAACCCTAAAAAAGGCTCAACCAAAATAATCAAGTGTAAACTATTGTCATAAGTTAAGAAAAAAGTTTTGTTAATACAGTGAAACGCACATAATTTTTCCTTTAGACATGTGTCAATCATTAATTTCTATTGACCGAATCATTCTAGTACATTTTGTCACGCGTATCCATTTGAATGATCGATCGTATATTCCGATCGATCATTCAAATGGATCATTTCAGGCTCCAGTACTCTGTGAGATCTATAGGGAACCGGAAATTTTCTATTTGAGATTTATAATAGCGCCATCTACTACATGCTATAAGTAATCAAGTCATTTTATCGAACTAAAACTTATTGACCTTCAAGGTGGTAAGTATAATCGACGCTAGATGGCATAAACACAAAAACCTTAAGTGATTCAATTGATTTGATTTGACTTTAATTGGTAACTTTATTCAATATATATTATTTTAAATATTTAATAAATTTGTTTATTTTTAAATTTCATTCCTAACAATACACAATTTCATCTTAATTTACATGTCTAAAAATTGGGATTGTAACATTTATTTGCAAGAAAATTAAACTTTTACCTATTTTATACTTATATAAGGTGGTTGGAAATTATCATATTAAATAAATCTTTTGCCATGAAATCTTTTGAAGTTTTATATATAGTAAACTCTACGAAATTATATTTTTAACTCATAGACTTAACAAATAAATATAGTAAAGTAAAGTAAAGTTACAGCCTATTATATACCATCCCACTGCTGGGCACAGGCATCCTCTCATTTCTGAGAGAGTTTTAGGGCAAGGAATAGTCCGCCGCGCTGCCCCAATGCGTGTTGGCGAACTTCACATGTCTTCGAAATATATTTTTTCTTATTTCTCAGACATGCAGGTTAGGTTCCCTCACGATGTTTTCCTTTACCACCGAGAACGTGGTAGATCAGCACTTAAAATTGCAATTAACAATTTCATTGGTGCCGGCGGGAATCGAACCCGGTTTGCTCGCGTACTGTGAAATTTACAGCGAGCGCTAACCATCTGAGCTACCACGGCTCTAAATATAATAAAATGTAAAATAATTTTTAATTTAGGTAACAATATTATAATAAAAATCCTTAAATAATAAATACTCCTTATACTCTGCAGTCTGCATTATTTATTCGATTGGCCTGTTTATTCAGATCATTCGAGATTCGGTCGGTTTTTGGCTCATTCCCAATTCATACAAATCGCGGGTTATAAAGGTATCGTCAATTGTTTGTGATTGGTTGTACTGGTACATTCAAAAACAAATGAATGAACCATCAATACTTTTAAGTGTACCAGCTCAAACGAACGAATCATGCGTGATTGACACATGTCTAGTTTTGTTTGGAGAATGGGCCAAACACAAATTTTAAGGATTTTTAATGAAATGCATGTTGATTTGGTCCTTATAATCTATAGATTACAATAGTGTTATTAGTTTTACTGCATCTAAACGGAGTCCTGAGAAATTAACAATTAAATTATGAATCTAACAACATCCTAAAAACAAACTGAAAGCGATTTTCTAGTAGTTTTCACCGGTATTATAAGTTAAAATAGAACACTGTTGAAAATAGTACATATAAAACTAAGTTGTAGGTATATTCATCATTTATAGGTACTTTAAGATTGATCGAAATTCTTTTCACTAATTCCGGCAAAATATAGTGCCTGTCTGTGCATAAATGTCGTATGGATTCTACTTTTAGGTTTAAAGAATTTATTCTCACAAAAAAGATTACATAATCCACTTACATGAGAACAATAATATAAACTTAATCTAGGTAACGGTCACCGTATTCACAGTTCCATCGTGACACTCTCCGAAATTACAAGTCAGTAGCTTTCAAGAATGTAGTTGTGCAATTGAGACTTGAACTTGTTAAAGGAATCTATATTTTTAATATGAGAAGGTAGGCTGTTATAAAAGTGTGCTCCCTCAAAGGTAATATTTTTTTTCCCTAATTTGGTACTTGTCTTTGGCAATACGAGCAAGCTAGGTCGACGAAGACTGCGTTTGGATATTTGTGACTTTTTGGTAAAGGACAAACTAGTTTGGATGTTTTTACTCATGATCTTCCTAATTAGAATGCAAGTGCTGTATATATAAAGTTGTCGAATGTTCATTATTTTTGTGTCATCAAAAATTTTACGAGTCGATGTTAAGTATGGGTAGGAGAAAAGTATTTTTATTGCTTTATTTTGAGCTCTTTGTAGTTCCTGCAATTTCGTTTTGGCGGCACTGCCCCATATTTCTATTAAATATAATATATGAGATTTAATAAGTGAATTGTAAATATTGAAACGTAGTTTCCTAGGTATACATTGATTTATGTTACAGAGTGAACCCGTTAGCGACGATAATTTGCTTTTTATATATTCTATCTGTTTGTTCCATGTTAAATTACTATCCATTCTCAGACCAAGATATTTTTCACAAGTTTTTTGTTCGAGTGGAATGTTGTCAATTGTTAAAGGAGCATGCGGGGGAATTATTTTATTTTTCGACTTGTAGATAATATAGCATGTTTTTAAGATGTTGATTGTTAACTGGTTGGACTGAAACCATTCAAACAACATGTTAAGGTCTTCTTGAGCTTTTGAGATGATTTCGTCCATATTTGTACCGAAATAGAATAGGCATGTATCGTCTGCGTACAAAGTTAAATGGCCGTGTAGTCTTAAATCCGTTATATTGTTAACATAGATAAGGAAAAGAAGCGGTCCCAATATGGACCCTTGTGGGACACCATATGTAATGGGTTGGGTATTGCTTTGGTTATTATCTATTTTGACTATCTGTACTCTATTTGTTAGGTACGACTCAAACATTTTAAGGGCACTACCTGTGATACCAATGTGCTCTAACTTTTTTAAAAGTAACTGGTGACTTACGGTATCAAAGGCTTTTTTCAGGTCGATGTAAATGCCTAGAACAATCCTTTTCTTATCCAGGTTTTCTTTAATTTTTGTTGTTAAATCTACTATTGCCGCAGTTGTATTGCTTTTTGACCGAAAACCGTACTGACGTGGAGATATAAAGTTAAATGAATCCAGGTAACTTGATAATCGGTTATGTATTACTTTTTCTAGGATTTTCGACAATATTGGTAGTACAGAAATAGGACGATAGTTTCCTGGGTCAGTTGTGGGCCCGGATTTGTAAATTGGTGTTACTTTTGCAACCTTCAAAGTATCGGGAAATTCGCCGTCAGTCATAAGTTTGTTTATTGAATGTGCCAGGCCTTCAGAGATTAGATCTTGCAAACATTTTAGGACTTTTGTGCTGATTTTGTCTATTCCACTACTAGTATTGGGATTTAGGTTGTGAATAATTTTATTTATTTCATTTGCATTACATGGGGTAAAGGCAGACAGTTTATGATCGTTTATTTTTTGTTGTATGAAATCAGGATTCAAAGTACTATCGTGATATTTGTTAGGTATTTTGTTTGCTAATAGAGAACCTATAGTAGAAAAATATTTGTTAAAAATATCACAAACTTCATCTGTGTCGCTAATTAGTTCAGAGTCTATTAAGAGCTTTGGAGGAGCACTACTTTGTTTTGTTTTGTTATTTGCTAGGTTATTTATAAGAGCCCACATCTTTTTAGGATTATTAGTATATTTTGTAAATAGTTTATAGTAGTAGGAATTTTTCGTATTTTGTATCAGTTTAGCTATTGTGTCTCTTTTTTGCTTGTATTCTTGTTCTAGTCTCTTGTCATCCTGATTTTTTTTGTGTTGCAACCATAGGTAGTTCCTTTGGGTAATCCCAGTGATTATATCACTGTTGATCCAGTCATTTTTAGGCGGGTTCAGTGTTTTCGTTTTCACTACTCGATTACGTGCTACGCATTGCTTTATTTTATTTTCAAGATATTCGTAAGTGTCTGCAGTGGCTTCCGTTTCATATGATTCCATTTCAGTATACATTCTTTTGTAATCTATTGCCTCATAAGTCGTTCTTAAATTCTTGTGTGGTTCATATTTATTCAATTGCAGGAAGATCTGTTTGTGGTCTGTCATGGACGAGTTAATAATAACAAAATTGAATTGTTCACATTGAAGATTTGTGCTGACATGGTCTATGATAGACTTCTTCGTCTCTGACTCTCTAGTACAATATTTTTTGTGAATTTTATTTAATAACTTGTGGCCTGATTCTCTTATTGTATGTTTGTACTTAGTTGAAGTTTTGTCATTCGTAAGTAGGTCTATGTTGAAATCTCCGAATATAATCGATCTCTTTTGTTGTAGCAATTGTGCACCATATATTTTTAAAAACTTTTCAACATTGGTATGTCCGGGTTTGTATACCACGCCAATATTGATTCCGAATTTTTCTAGGTGTATCCATAAGAAGTTGTTTCCTTCTAGATACGTCGATTCTATAGAGTGATGTTTCAAGTTGTTGTGTATGTACGCTGATACTCCTCCACCTATGATATCGTTCCTGTAGTTATAATAATGAGTGTAGTTATCGATCTGTAATTGTCGGGCTTGTTCTTCATTTCGTATCCAGGTTTCTGTTACTAATATTACGTGTATAGGTGTTGGTGTCGATTTTAGAATACATTTAAGTTCGTCTAACTTTCCTTTTTTTCTGATACTTCTTGCATTTAGGTAGAGAAATGAAACACCTGATTTTCTTGTCTGTATGAGTCTGTAGTCACTTACAATTTGATATAATATATCAGAATTCTTTGTATGCCTTATTGGCCGTTGGAGTTTTTTGAGACAGATTTAACGATGTTTGGTATGCCATTTATGTATCTTATCGTAATATCATCTTCTCCGTTATTTTTGCGTCTTGTAAGTTCATTCTTTATGGTTAGAAAGTGCTTTTGTTGAGCAGGAGTTTGGTCAGAGAAAATTTTGATGTTAGATGGTAATTTGGCTTTGTTACGTAGTAGTACCATTGCAGGCTCTGGTTTGTCAAAACAGACTTTAATTCTACGAGTCTTTTCAGGTTTGTATTTGCCAATACGAAAAATTTTAATCGGCTTGGTAATGTCTTTGCTTACCACGGCTGTTATGTTTAAAACCTCAGCTTCGTCTTTTGCAACCCTCTCCTCAGTACTGGTAGCAGTCTGTTCTGATATGCCAACTATAATAATATTTTTTTCTCTCTTTTTTCTCTCTTTAATTTCTTGAATTATTTCTTCATATTTCCTCAACTGATTCGGCTCTGATGAATCAATGGTAGTAGTGGTAGATGTCTTGAGACTACCTTCAAGACAAGTGAGCCTGTCTTCGTGCGTAGAAAATTTGCTATTTAAATCTGTTATACATCCTTTGATGTTGTCCTGGTCTTTTACTATCCCCGAAGTCGAGGATTTGATATCTTTGATCTCTTCGTTCAATGTTTTTATATTTTCACGCATATCGGTCATTAATTTCTCCTGTGATATAACGAAATTTTCTAATAGATTATTCATACGCGATACCTCACTGCGTAGTCCTTGTATCTCAGCTTTGCAGTCACAGTCGTGGTCCATTTTTTTTCTTTTACGGATACTAACATTACTTTCTTCTTCCGTCCTTCTGGACAAGTCTGGTTGTGAGTTGTATTTTGATTCATTGCCATTTGGTGATCGAATCATGTTGTATCAGTTTATAAATAAGTCGATATAATAGAAATGCAAAACGATATTTTTATTTACAAACGCGCAAGCGCTCTGTTCAATAATTGTCTAGTCACTTATGCACCACACAATCACTGTTTCACTTACACTTAAGCGTAGTATCGTCCGTGCGACACGGAGTAACCGAGTAACCGAGTGGTCACTGCTTTTGTTCGGAAATAACCAGACAAACGAGACACTGAGCGCCCGGGTTGAGCGCCATACGCCAGGGGTCTTGACGGTTGGTTTTCCGGTATGGAAGCGTCTAGCGACCGTAGACACGGAGGTCTGTGTTAAGCGCCGTAAGACAGGGGTCTTGGTTACTGGTTTTGCAAGAGGATTCGCGTAGAAACGTGTGAATACGATGGCGACCTGCGCCGAACTCTTTTGACATGTTTTGATTGATTATGAGTGTAAATTCCAAATACCATTAAAGTATTATGATTAAAGCAAAGATGACCAAGGGATAGTATGTCCATTTATATTATTTATAATATTACACGGTAAGAAATATGTTTTAAAGTTGGTTATTACAAAAAACAAAATATAATGGAACTCTATTTATAACTGTAACTCAGAATTTCTAAAGTATTCTATTAATAGTGGTACAGAAAGAGAAACTTTTTATTCAATATAGATTATAAATAATACTTATTGAAAACCACTTTTTATTTATTTATCACTGGTACGGAAAAACCACTATCTTGTGGAGAACCAGCAAAAAACTCGGGGGATTTTTTTTTAAATAATACCTTACAATCATGTATGTTACAATTATAAACAAATAACAAATTAGAAATAGCTTGGTAGCGATCACCTTACCCAGGGGTATTATCTCATAAATTCCTTATAATATATATACAAACTTAGTTTAATAAAGTTTTTCAACTTTGATGATTGATTGAGATGGACAGACAGGAGCAGTGTCAAGACTTTGTTTTAATATGTTTTGGTTGATTACTAACCTATCTCTAAACATCTCATATATCATAATAAAATAACTGGATAAAAACATGCTTATCTACGTAACCTTCTCAGAAATGAGAGGAGGCCTGTGCCCAGCTGTGGGACGTATACAGGCTGTAACTTTAAAGAATATTTGAAAGTGTGATTATTATAATATATTCTTTTATTATAGAATTACGAGTAAAACACATTTCTAATTTATTTATTTTTTATTCCATTATTTGATATTGCCGGTTTTAAATCATATAAATATTAAATTTTATAATAGTGTGTCGTCTCTTCTATAGGATTATGGAGTTGTGTCAATAAGACCTGTCACCTGCGCGGCTAGATGCAGTGTCGGCTGGTATTACCGAGATCCTTGGCTTGAATCCATCTTCATCAGCCTCGTACTCCACGACCTGGAAAGAACAGAATACATGCTATGAAATTGTGTTAGTTTTACCACGTTTTCATCATGTCACTTTCTAGTTTTTCTGCCGTTCCGGGTGGAATCTTGGAATTCAAATTTCGAACACTTCCCGATGGGCTAGGGACTTGAAATTTTGATCATAGCTCAGAATCAGAAATTGTAGGTGAAAAACGTGGTATATTAATTTCTTAGAACAAAGTTTAAAAAAATATACTTGTTTGTATACTTTCGTTTGTTGACAAATTATAGCAACTAGCTACTGTAGTCCAAGGATAAAAAGTAAGAGATCAAAAACAGAAACAGAAACTTTTTTATTTAATATAGGTTATAAATAATACTTATTGAAAGTCACTTTTTTTAATTTATCACTGATTCAAAAAAAAAACCTCTATCCTGGGAAGAACAAACAAGAATCCCAGCGGGATTTTTTTAAATAACAGCTTACAATCATGTATGTTACAATTAATACACAATAAATTAGAATCAGCTTGGTAGCAATCACCCTACCCAGGGGTTATTATCATCCACATCTGAAGTGTGTAAGAGATGTAGAGAAATGTAGAAGAAACCCAGTATAATAACAGGCCATGAGGTATTCCATCTTAGTCCTCATTGAGGCCAATTCTTTATTATTGTTGGTTGCAGGTAAACAACTGATTCCTGCAACGTTTCATCAGGTGGACTGTAAGTTTGTGTTTCAATTCAATTTTTACAGAAAAATGGTGACAAACGAGCACACGTTCCATCTGATGGCAAGTGGGTGCTGTAGCCCATAGACATATACATCTGTATCTGATGATGAATCATAATGCAGATGCATTGTCACTCCTAAGGACTAAGATGGAATGTCCTGTTCCCAGTAAAGAAAGAATTAACATCCACAACCTCTTACAAGGCTGACTGTCTTACTATAAAGTTAAAGTTACAGCCTACATACGTCCTACGTAGTGGGACGTATATAGGCTGTAAAAGAAATGAGAGAACTCTGCACATCTTCTAAATATTTTTTTGTTTCTCAGACATGCAGGTTTCCTCACGATGTTTTCTTTCATCGTTAAGCACGTGGTAAATCAACGCTTAAAATTGCTCGCGTAATGTGAAAACTTATATATTGTATTTCAGTGTGTCTTACTACACTAAAATACAATAGTATTCGCATTTGTGTTTGCAGAAATAGATAGGTGGAATTTACTCGGGTTCCAAAGCAGTAGAGCTGATGAAGATGATTTCAACGTACTTGTTTGGTTCCATCAGGAAGTACGACAAAGTACGTCCCTTCTGCTTTATCGTCCTGCCGGTTTTCCGCGTGGCCAAAGTCACTTCCGCTCTCGTAGTCGCTCACTTTGTAGGAGAACTCGTAGTTCGCTGGTTCCTGTGTATTTTGATTAGTAAGTTTGAGTAATAGAACGTGTAGTAGCGTGTAAGAATATCCAGTACCCCATATCGTCCCGTGGGTGTCGCAAGAGGTGAGACAGAGAAATACAAAGGTAACAGCGTCTTCCTAATAACGACTAGAAAATAAAATAAACTGCGGTTACCAACCTGCCCACCAAGCGTGGCAACTGTGGCAAATATCCCCCTTATCAGGTAACCTATGGAGTGAACCGCCCCCCGGGTATCTTCAGCAGTGGTCTTCGATAGTCTTTATTGAATGAATAATTAATGGCATTGATACATTTAGTAGTATTTATCAATTCCCTTAAGTTGCGTGTTTGTGCAAAATGCAGCGCTAGTCGTTATTTGTGACGTTTTTAGGAGCAATCTACTTCTTATTAAAATGATATATCAACTAATAAAAAAACCTATTACATTTCTACACAATCTTGATTCCATAATAGCCAATTACAGTTTTTTTAAGGAGTAAATACTTGATGAATCTTCCTACAACTAAACCACAGAAATGCGAATAAATTATTAATAATTAAAAAATTATTATATAAAAATTATTGATGTCATACATCTCCTCATAAAGTAAACATTATTACACGTCTTATAAGCGAAGCGTTGAGGTTGTGCTCTACTATCACCCAATGGTGTTAAGTAAGGTCGTTTTATACGTAAGTAACATCATGTATTTTATTAACTGCATAAAATATCATAAATCTAAACAAGGTTATAGATATTCATAATAATAACAATGTACATTTTAGACACACAAATAACAAGGTATAACAATAATTATTATTACTCACAATTTATCTTCCGTGTACGTATTCTCTACTCAACAGTTTTAGTAAGACTGCCGCTCGTAGCTGCCGCTCAAACCGACGACATCTGTCTTTTATAGGCTTGTAATTTAACAGTGCTAAACTACAGATGGCGTTGCTTGTGTTCGTTACAGTTATGGATATTAAGCCGTAAGTTTTTACATTATAAAACATTATTTATATTTCTTATAATTATCTTAAACAGTTTTACATTCTAGTTATTAATATAAGCAAAAATAAAGAACTTAACATAATCTAATACATTAATGTACCCGCAGACTTTATAGGATGAAAATAATGAATTACCCACCATGTTAGTTACAATATAAATTATTAAAATACGCTAACAATGGAAATCCAGTAATTTACTGAGCTAAAAATGTCTTCATTTTTTAACTACCGCACTTTAAGAATAATAAAAATACACATATATCGAGAAAAATCACTCGTTTTCATGTTTCTATTATTTTTAAAAGTAATTTTTTGTATTTAGTGTAAAAACAAACTGATTGAAAAAAATTATCGAGGGTGCCCGGAAGTCTGTATTAAGCGTAGTCGTTAGAATTAATGTATCAAAATAATTCTTTTTTATTAGGTTTAGATTCTCAACGCACAGGTTCCTTTAAAAAATCACTGAGTAATTTGTTCTCGTTTAATTGTAATTAATGAAAATGTAAAAAAACAACTGGTACTTTTCTACAAAAAAATATTCTCATGTATCTCTTCGTTCGTCTCAAATATAGAAAAAGAGATATTTTTCTTTTATTTTTTTATTTAATCAAATGAGATTATAAGGCATGCACTTTTGGATTTTCTAAACTTTTTTATTTTACAATTGCTACTAATGGATAGGCAATTTATTAATGAACATTTTGATCTGTTTAATTTTTTCAAAAGATAAATATTCGACTTTATCAAGAAAATATTTTAAAATTTGGGCGAATTTCTTACGCGATATATTATTGTAGAGAGAGCGCATGGAATGTATAGAACCGAATGCTGCAGGTCGTTCGCTAGGAGTAGCGCTTTAATTGGCCTCTCCTTTAGATTGTCTTGTAGGCTTTTGCTATAGTTGCCACGCGGGCGGTGTTGGCAAGGCGGGATGGCGAAAGAACAGTGCTGCTGCCTATATCCTGTTTCAGTTTCCCTCTATCCCCACTTACGACAAGTCCGCCTAAAATTGCGGCATCTACGGCAGGGGTCGGCAACCTTTTGAGTCGGAAGAGTGAAAATTACAATTTAAAAAATTTCAAAGTATTTAAAGAGCCACAAATTTTTTTCTTGCCAAGCATAATAGTACTTGCATAAATAAATATTTTTGAAAAAAAAAAAGAAATATATACATTCAAGAACTTCCGAGCTTTACGGACACGATAGTGACGACGCGTGTCACC